AACATTCCTTACTAATGCGTGGTAATTACAGGCAAAATTCCCTTTATGAGGAAAGTTTATCTTCAGCAGTAAACAGTTAACGGTTAAAGGTTAATCATATGATGCTACGTTTTATTAATTATATATTCACAAGATAAAGCCCATCATACTTCTGATATTAGATACAAGAATCTTTAAAGAGCTAATTTATTAACTAAATAACAATTCCACATGATTAAAACACCCTTTTTCAGTTCTTAAATTTAGTCCTTAACTCAATTACAATTTTATATATCACAATCACTACGATATGCACAAGTGTTCATTTCATGCTTCAATCAAAGAATGCCCCGAAGCTCCAAAACAAAGGAGCAACTGTCACTAATTTCACACGGAACGTAATTATTATAAACAAACAGTTGTGTTTGCATGACTGTGTTTCGGTTTGAAAGGTGGGATATAGCGTGAATTTACTGGGTACAGAGGAATAACACCTGAGTCCTCAGGAATGGCAACGCAAGGGGGTATCATGGGCGAAACAGTATACTCTGTTATGTCTATGGTACTGCTCATGTCTATAGGCGACGGTTACCACTTTCCATCAGGTGGGCCGTTAGCTTGTTTGCCATTCTAAGTTGTATAAAAAAAAACTAATGGTAACAAATACGTAGAAGGAACACTACGTGTCATTGTTTCTGTAGTTTAAACATCTCGCCATTATCGGAGCCAACAGTTTCTTAACTGCGTTCATTATACACAAAGACCTTTGATGAAGTTTACTGGACGATAGCTTTATTTTCCCTTATAGTACAAAACAAGTACAATAATTTTTAAATAATCCAACATAAATTTGAATAATTCTGAGGTTAAAACTGTATTTAAGTTTTAGAATCCCCAGACAGTAATCGAGCCAAGAGTCAAGCGTTATCCAAATAAGCTATCACCACTGCCTATTACTAACAATGACCTAACTTTTTGAAAATCAACTAAACTGCCTGACTAAATATGAATAACAGATCAATATGTTTACCTAAACGTTAATGGTTTAGAGATTTTATAAGTAACATACTTCTGAAACTCGATAAGAGTTAAATGTATGAAGTTATCAATAAATTAAGTCTAAATGGATTTAAATAAAAATTGATAGATGAATTATATACTCTAAATTAACACAGACTATATTTTATCCCAGTTTACGCGGGAAAAACTGCAAGTTACAATTATCATATTATAGATAATTCTAGAACGTCCTAATGAAGTCCGCTTGACCTAAACCACGCGTCTCATATATCAGCGAGTTGTGCTCGTCCACAAAGGAATTATTGTTTTAATTGAAACGACAATGAGCAATCTCCACTCCTCCCGTGTCGGTAATTTTTATCACGAGGTTCGTGTTAATAAAATTGTTTATGGACAGGATGCAACTATTGTAGAAAATCCTTATATAACAAAGATTAGGTATACGAAATCGTATAGACCCCATACAAAACTGATAGTAGATGATCTGTAATCTACATCAAAACTTAGTACGTAGTACGTTATAATAAATCTATGTTTAAAACAGCTACTATCCTTAATCTATGATTGAAATAATGTTTTTATCTATGGCAAAGATGCTAACAATATCTATGAATACATAGCTCATAACGTTATAATCATAGATTAAGAACGTTCATAACTAAGTATTGCAACGTTGCAATTATCTGTCAATTTTTAAAAACAACAAAACATTTTTCAATATTCGTTGTTTTTTAATAAGTGCTTTATTAGCAAACTAAAACGTTATTCTTGCAAAATAATATTTTTAATTAAACTGGCACTGACATCTTAGATTTTAATGGCAAAAATATATTTAGAAATTCCAAAGCAAAATATAAAATATAGGTGCAAAATTTTTTAATATGGATTTATATGTAATATATTCTATGATTAATGTTTTATTTTGCTGACAGAGTACTTTTAAAACAATCAATCAGAAACATTGAAATAAGTTATATGTCAAATAATTGCGACATTGTCACACTTAGGTAAGCAAAAGTTATGAATAATATGGTCTTTCTTCTATTATTATAATTACCACCTTTTCCGTTTTAATAGAATAAGATCTTGCTGTATGGTTTAGTTCCCTTACCTTTCCTATTTTGGATAAACCTATAGACTAAGGATAATACTCTCTTTCCACTAAATCGAGATAGTAGTTACGATGATATTCTCTTTCTATGGATAAATATCAGTTTATATTTTATTTATTATATACTGATAACATTCGTAAATGTAAAAAAATATTTAATTTTATGTCCTCAAACCTTAATACGACAACATCTGTATAAAGTATTTACCTATAAATAAATAAAAGAAAAAGTTAAATTGGTACATCCATTTCAAAATGACGCGTTTATCGTCGACTAACATTAAATTTGTTTATATATATTACACAAATGAACTATATTGTCCATTATGAATAGATATAAACAGAAATATAACACGCTATAAATAAAAAAAGATGGATATTCATAAAACAGGAGGTGTCCGTAACGACGGCCAATTGTGGAGTTATTTTCGTATAAGGTGCGGTAGCAATAAACGGAGCGAGGACCATCAGCGTCGTATCAGTAACGACTCGTCATATTATCCACTTAATCATATAATTGAACTATAACATATAGAAGAGAAGTACATTTTACTCCGTAAAACAAATACAATTTGCTCCATAAATTAACGAAGTATTTAAAAAAATATATAGTCCGTTTGACTCAAGATGGTGCAAGAATTCTAATAATACCTAACACCTCACATATATAAACTTCGTCATATCAAGAAGAAAGGTACATGAATCCTGAAAACATTCTACTCCCTTTTTAGGCAGTCATGTAAAAACAGTAATTTCAGCTATGGTTTTAACATTATACTACGTCTATGAACACATAACACTTATGACCACATAACAAAATCCACAGACATAAATAAGGATATTTTGAATCTACAGACGAAATAACACTTTTACGTGTATGTATGCGTGTATGTGTGAGCGTGCATGCGTCTCTCTCTCTCTCTCTCTCTCTCTCTCTCTCTCTCTCTCTCTGTGTGTGTGTGTGTGTGTGTGTGTGTGTGTGTGTGTTGCGTGCGTGCGTGTGTGCGTGTGTATGTGTGTGTGCGTGTGTGTTTGAGTGCGTGCGTGCGTTAGTGTGTGTGCGATGTAATTATGTTACAAAAGTCACAAATTGTGATCGTACTAAAGATTTCTCGTTCTTATGAACCTACCCCTTTAAAAAGTTGCTTAAAACATATTTTATATTTATCAATACTAGTCAATACTTAGTACTACAAAAAGGAAAGATTAGGTAATCACAGAATAATTAATGTTAGAATACTTACTAGTATTGATACAAAAGACTTAAGTACTTAAATATTAATGAAGTCTGAAGTAAAAACTGTACCTCGTTAACCGCACACAACATGCGTTTAGTTCATATGGTTCCTGTTTAATTTAAGAATCGCTCTCTTTCCGTGGATGTTATAAGAGGGGACTAGGAAATAAATCTTAGAGGATAACAAGCAGGACAATTCTTTAATCTATCTGTTACTATGTACAATCTTACTAATATAATACTATTAGTATTTAGACCATGTCTGTACATGGAAGATATTTAAGAAAAAATAATATGAGGACTCTTATATTTTTTTCACAAAATAGCCGTACGAGTATTTAGCCATCTAGCGAGATTCTGAGAAACAATGTCGATCTACCAAAACAAAAATCGCGGACAACAACGTCAATAAACATAAAAAATGCGAGCACGTCGAAATTGCGGGATGCGTAAAATTAAACTAGTAGATACTGCACGCGGAAATCGCGGGATGCCCGATCAGAGGGATAATAAGAACCAAAACAAAATTTTTTAGGAATTTTATCTGTCTCTGTACGTTTGTCCCAACATCACACGAAAACTACTACACCAATTCAGATGCAGTTTTCACAATTGTATTCCTTATTGTAATCTTATATGCCATCTAAAAGTGGTATGATTAATTGATTTTTTCCACTTCTAAAATCTACGCGTATTATTGTGCTTTAAAATATATAAAAACAGGTGGCTCAGGACCATTCTTTATAGACATGTATGGGGGAGGCTTATGTCCAGCAGTAGACGAATAATGACTGAAATGATGATGATGATGATGATGATGAAATATATAGAAATATGTAAATAGGTATATGGTATTTTTATGGGTGAAAATAGCATAATAATCCCACCGGCTCTATTGGTGTATACTGGAAAGACACCAGTAACGGATGAGAGATGAGAAAAAAACAAATTTAACACGAATTAATCACGATGGTTTCCAGAGGAAACCTCATGGCGGTTGACCTGACAATAAGACCACTCCCATTACTAACAACTCCTATCCCCTAGTGCACCCTTCACTGGTGCTCCGCCAGCGTATCCCGTTAGCGCGGGCTGAGTTACCATACCATTTTCACCCATCAAAAAAAAAAAATTACATTCACATTTGTTTGTTTGTTACCTCTTCGTGCCTTAACATCTAAACAGATTTTTATGAAATTTTATATACACTTACTCTCTAGAATAGAAAAGGACAAAGGCTACATTTTATCTCGGTCAATCAACGTATCCCGATCACACAAAAGAAGTCGACGGTGAAGCTAGTCTAATCACAATTTCATTACTTTTCCAATATATTTCGCTTGATTCGAAATTTTCAATCTCACAATAGTTATTTAATCTCTATATAAATATGGGAGATTAATGAACTCACTATGTTTTTGTCGTTTCTGACAAAAATACAGTGCGAGGCGAGACGCTGTGACGCAAAGCGCTAAACGCCCCCTGAAAAAGACTTCCGGATGATGTAGAAACAATTGTCGGAAACGACAAAAACACTGTGAGTTCATTAATCTTACATATTTATATTGACGTTGAATAAAAATGAACATAAACTTTTAAAAAAATATATTATTTAAATTTAGAATGTAATTTTTTTTTTTTTTTCATATACAGTTGAATCCCCACGTGAACGACTTCCAACGTCGCTACGTGTCCGAAGTGCGGCGATGCAGCGAAATGGAGAGGAAGCTCAGGTGGGTGGCCGGGGAGCTGCCTGAACCGCCGCCCCCGCCGAAGCCGTCCCCTAGCAACCTTAGTCCGAGGGAGATTAATATACTAGAAGTGAGTATGATAAAACCACAATTTTATACTGTATCTATATAGTATCTTTCAATTATTACAAAGGTGACAAAGTTTTGATGAAATTGTCAAAAAAATACTCTCTAAAAGAAATTAGTGGTAACACAATTAATTATTTAATCGATTTTTCAACCAACTTCAAAAAGGAGGCTCTCAATTCGGTGGTATTTTATGTTTGTTACCTCATAATTACGTCAATTGTAAACCGATTTGGAAAATTCTCTTCTTATATGAAAGGATATACTTATTTATTTATTTATTTAAGTTTTAATGCACAATACAATTCTATGTACATACATGCGGACTTAACACCGGACGGTGTTCTCGTAGAAATTTTATCAAAATCGGTCCTATAGTTTTATTCTTAGACCATAATAACTGATTTTGTCCCAACTGACAGTTTTTTTTTTTTTTTACGGGACCCAATCTTTAATTAATATTTTTAACAAATTATTAACTAATATAATTAACTCTAAATATATGTACTTACAGCTCTTACTCTTTATTTTGTGTGAACCCAATATTACGCCACTCACTTTTGCAGGTATAAGACTTTTTAATAAAACTTGCTTTAAATGAAAAATGGCGCAAAAATATAATACAATGCAATCAGGTTGCATTCTATCAGATATCCACAATGCAGGGTTGCCAGGTTACTCTCGATCCCTTACCTTTTGATGATCTTTGTCTTAGGCAATGCGCGAATGATTCCTTTTTGCAAGCATTTATGAACTTTTTACCATCAGACGGACCGCATACTCGATTGCCACCATCATTTAACAAAAATTCTAGTTTATTCTAATTTATTATTTTATTTGTGTATGTAAGATTATTTATAAAAACCTCTTATTCATAAAAACATCAAACGTCTCATCAGAAACCCATTTTAGCTGCCGAACTTTTTTGTCTCTTTCTTTGGTGCTCAATTCCTAATTTTAAGGAAAGTGACAAAATAGTGTAATAAATAATTAAAATAGGTTTGCAGGTTTTAGTTTTTATAAATAATATACCAGGAGGAGACTTTGTACAAAAGTCGATTGCTTGGATTCCTCTGTCCCATTCGTGTTTCAACCATGAAGCAGTTGTGTTTGCATGGCTGTGTTTCGATTTGAAGAGTGGGATATGGCGTGAATTTACTGAGTACAGAGGAATAACACCTGAGTCCTCAGGAATCGCAATGCATGGAGGTATCATGGGCGAAACAGTATACTCTGTTATGTCCATGGTACTGCTCATCTATAGGCGACGGTTACCACTTTCCATCAGGTGGACCGTCAGCTTGTTTGCCATTCTAAGTTGCATAAAAAAAATAAGGGGGTTAACTTCTTGTAAATTTTGTTTCCAGGAAAGAATTGACTATATCGAATCGGAAATACAAGAAATCACACGCAACGCTCGTAATTTAAAAACAGACTACCTATCTCTGATAGAATTGAAGATTTTAATAGAGAAAACCCAGACATTTTTTCAAGATCAAAGTGCACAAAGAAAGATCTCTGCGTCTGTACAGATATATAATAACGAAGGAGTTTTGGGTCATCTGGGCTTCATTGCTGGTGTCGTGGCCACTCACAGGGTTCCGTCCTTCGAGAGGATGCTATGGAGGATATCCCACGGGAATATATTCTTCAAACAGGCGCATATTGAGAAGCCTCTTAAGGATCCTGTCACAGTAAGTTTATAGTTTTTGGACGGTCATTATAACTATATTAAAGATTTATTCGATTACCTCAAAGTAAGACTGGAAAAAAACATATTTTATTAACTTACTAACTTTTACCTGTGATTTCGTTCACGAGACTAGGATAAATAGAAACTTATATCCGTTACTATCTTAAATAGAATGATGACAATGGCTGTATGATGATGATCTATCATCATACTACCGTAAACTGTCCACTGCTGAATATAGGCCTCCATCTTGGGGGATTTTCCAGTAGTTGCTTGGCGGGCGGGTTGGCAACCGCGGTTAGGCTTTGGTGATGTTTTAAAAGGCAGGAAATAGTATATGAAATCCAAATTTCATAATGATTTGGTCAACATTAAGGCTCCGAAAGTGAGCAAACGTGTAATCAGACTTGTTTATCTATACTTATAATAAATCTGTAGAGAGGTCAATTCTGTACATGAAATATATTTCCGAAATAACTATCAGGCGGTGATTAGTGATCGATACTGATGCCAATAATGCAATCAGTAAATTTTTTGTCTGTCTATCTGTCTGTATGTTCGTTATAGAAACAAAAACTACTCGACGGATTTTAACGAAACTTGGTACAATTATTCTTCATACTCCTAGGCAAGTTATAGTATACTTTCATCACGCTACGATCAATAGGAGCAGAGCAGTGAAGGGAAATGTTGGGAAAACGGGAGAAGTTACTCCATTTTTAAGCTTCCGCCGTGCAACGCCGGGACGGGCCGCTAGTTAAGAATAATCCCTATCATATACAAATAATACTATCAAAATTTATTTCGAATTTGTGAATTTATAGTATAAAAAAGAGATGAATTGTGAAATAAGAACCTCTTTCTATTTGAAGTCGCTCAAAAATAAATATTAACATAACATTCAGAATTAAATGGTTTTATTACAATATCACTTCCAATATCGATAGGAATGCAAAAAGAATTATGAAAATCGGTTAAGAAGAAATTGCGTTACATATATACAAACCGAAGAGAGACTTTGTACAAAAGTCGTCTACTTGGGTACTTCTGTCTCATTAAAGTTTCTGCCGCGAAGCAGTTTTAATTGCATGGCTGTGTTTAGGTTGGAAGATTGCAATTATAGATAAATATCGAAATTACAAAACGCATGAGAAGTATCATGAGCGACACAGTATACTCTGTTATCTCCATGGTACTGTCCGTATCCATAAGCGACGGTTACCACAAGTTCCATCAGGTGGGCCATAAGCTTATTTGCTATTCTGAATTGTATATAAAAAAACAAACAAGCCAATTTAAAACTTTTTTAAAATCTTTTAAAAAATAACAAAGTACCAATCAGTGGACTCCTTAAAGCGATAACGACTATTTATTGTATAGAATTCGGTGTACTGTAATAAGAGCAGAGGGGCAGATAGCTTATCTGCGTGATAGTAAATGGACTGCGTTGGTAAACATTACGAATAACTATGTAGCTACTTTAATTACTTGTCGGGGACATGGATCATATGCGACTAGATGGAGCGTCAAATTTAAAAATATAATATTGATAATATGATAAACACGAATGGAAAAAAGTTTTAATAATTATCATCATATCAGCCATTAACATAGGTTCAACAATGGACTCATGAGAAGGAGTTTTGCCAGTAATTGCCATGTTTAGCATTTATAATAAAACTCATAAATTAACATATATCATAAATAGATGATTCATGTGGATTCTTCAAAAAAGGGGTTACGAGGTTTCTTCAGGTGTTTATAGGCTGCGGTAACTGCTTACCATCAAATGAGACGTATGCTTGTTTACCACCTCAGTGGTAGAAAAAAAAATTTATGCGATTTTATTAATTCTGATAATCGTAATTATGTTTCTTAATTACAATAAAGCGAAATGAAAAGATGCTTTCAGCTTTCTACATGTTCGTACTGCAGAGTTGCTACTCATCCAATTTTTGTAAGCATTATATCAATCGATTTGTCCTCAGGATGATATAACATTTTATATAAACAAAATCAATAGGACTTTAGGACTTATATATATATATATATATATATATATATATATACATATATATCAGGCGTTAACCACTGCTGAACATAAGTCTTCACATATGCCTAAATTATATACATAAATTTTGCTAGTAGTTGCCACGCTTGGCACGCAACCGAAGTTAGGCTTTGAAGATGCTTTAAAAGACTCGCTGCTGTCCATCCCTCTACTATTAAGTTTCCTTAGCCGCCTCTTACACGAAAAAGGAAGAGGATATAATTAAAAACTAAAATTCTGATTTTAAATTTTACTAATACTGTTCTCGTTAAAATCTGTTTTCGTCATAGCATTTACATGTGTTACTCTATCTAGACGTAAATGATCTACATATGTCGGGGACATTTTATATCCTGTCTGATATTCGTTGAGCGATATGTATCCGTATGTATACGTGATCTTGGTCACTAATTGATAGTTTTGAGTAACACCAATGTAGTAAACTGGGTCATTGCTTACTGCAGTATCCTACTTTTATAATTCTATTAGCTATACTATAACCTGCGACTTTGTTCGTATTAATTTGGATAGAACTGTGTACTCTATATGTTTTTTAAATTTTTTATGGATGATAATGAAATGATAACCCCGTCTGAGCTATCGGTATACACTAGCGAGATACCAGTGAGGGCTGATTGGTGAGAATAAAAAGGCAGGTCAGTTAGCCCATCGTGACGAATTCAACGATAAATTAGTCACAATAAATTCCACGTGGAAGTCGACCTGATAGGGCATATTAATAGCAATGGGGACTAACCTCCCCATTACAAACAACCCCTTCCTTCCAAGTACTCTCTATATATGTAAGTCTAAAATAAGATCTGTCTGTGTGATATTAATTTGAAACATAAAATATATAGTAAACCATCCTTAGGTATTAATATTATAAATGTGAAAGTGAGTGTGTTTACTTGTTACCGTATAGCGCCTTAACAGCTTAACCAATTACTATGAATCTTAATAAACATTATCCTATATAGGATGGAGAAGCATATAGGCTATTTTAAACCCAGTCACGCTGACAAAGTCGCGGGTTAAAGCTAGTATACTATAAACGTGATTAACGCCCTTGCGGAATACATTTAAAACTTTTATACATCATAAAGAATATTATATATATATATATATATATATATATATATATATATATATATATATATATATATATAATAACTTAAATACAATTTCCATTAATTATATTTTAATGTTTATCAAATACAAGGCATGCTGTGATTGCTTATAAATGTAAGAACAGTTATATTTAATCTATCAGTGTATTGTATTGAAATATTTAGCTGTATCTTATGTTGGTAATCCTATAAATAAATACGTAGAAATAAGATAATACTGTAATAATACAATAAATTAAAGGCTTTATTTATTTATTTATTATATCATAAAGTATTAGGTAGGTATTGTCATCTAAAACATTATATTTACGTGTACTATGCAATATAAATAATACTTTCATACATAATTATTCCCTATATGTAATTAAAAAGAAATCAAAACTGCCAAAACCATGTTCGAACGTTAATGACTTAAAACCAATTATTACTGGTATAATATATATATAGCTATGAGAAGGGACAAGTGGACGCGGTCATTAACCTCACTCAATATTGATTTTTTTTTCTAGTCGTTAACTAAGCCAGAACTTTTATTACTAATTGAGTAGAAATTGAGCTCAGATTTTTACACTAACCGTTTCTTTTTAACTTTGTTTTTTTTTATGGAACAAATAAAATCAATAAAACCGTACAACTTGTGATTATTGTTTTATGCGACTTGGAATAGCAAAAGAGTTAATTTTGACCTTGTGGAAAAGGGTGGGATATGGCGTGAATTTACTGGGTACAGAGGAACAACACCTGAGTCCTCAGGAATGGCAACACATGGGGGGGTATCATGGGCGAAACAGTATACTCTGTTATTTACATGGTACTGCTCATGTCTATAGGCGACGGTTACCACTTTCCATCAGGTGGGCCGTCAGCTTGTTTGCCATTCTAAGTTGTATGTAAAGAATGTGATATAATAGTAAAATTAAAAACAGCAAGCACATATGCTTACCGTTGAAACACGATTGAAACAGAGGTATCCATAAACTGTTGATCTACAAAACTAAAGAGAAGAAACTAAAAGTTAACCTATAAATGCTAGTGACTTTAATATTACCTGTTATCGGTTTTTCACCACAACGACCTGTTTATGCCAAAAATATTAATAGTCTAAGACTAAAGACTAAGGTGAGCCAATAAATTAAATAAAATTAATTGCTTTCTGACATTAATTATTATTCATCAGACGATATATAGGCAAAGAATATTAAGTAGCACTTTTTTTTACTAAATCCAAGGTTAAAGAACAATAAAAACATGCATTACGATTATACTGCATGATACCAGTGAAAATATTTGTATTTACACAAGGAGTTTACTTCACTTGCTGGTTTAGGATTGAACAGAAAATATTTATTGCCAAAAAAAAAATTTTTTTTAATTTCTTCACGAAAATACAAAATTACATTAAGTATGTTACATTAGCATTCAGAAATCACGTAGATTAATATTAATACTAACAATTGCAATAGAGAATACGGAAAATACATTTATAAGAAGTGTCTCATATTAGGCAAAAGGGTTAATTGAGCTATTGCTCATCTGAGATAACCGTATGTCCGATTTACTTAATCTCCAGTTCTCAGATTAGTTCTCTTTTCTCACATATCCGGTAGCAAACAGAAAAACAATGACAGAAATAAAAAAAAATCATAGAAAAATATAGTGGCCAATGATACGCTACATGGGTACCAAATGAAACTACTTGAAAAGAGTAGATAACTATAAAGCAAATGGTTACACCCACAAGACGGTGAATCATATTATAAAAGCTTGCTTTAAAACAGACGTGTTCTTAAATACGTTTTTCCTTTTACCAGGGTCATGAGCTTCAGAAAACAGTGTTCGTAGTATTCTTCCACGGAGAACAGATCAAACTGAGGGTCAAGAAGGTATGCAATGGGTTCCAGGCTACGCTGTACCCATGTCCCGCTACCTACAAGGACCAACAGGATATGCTGGCTGGTGTTGAGAGCAGAATCAAGGATCTGGAGATAGTAAGTAATTGTTTTGATTCTTTTATTGTAACAATATAACCTAATCTTATAACCAAGGGGAGAAGGAATTGTTAGTAATGCGGACTATCATTCCCATTACTAGCAATAGACCCTGTCAGGTCGACCTCCTCGTGGTACCCCCTGGAAACCATCGTGTTGAATTTCAAGAGTATTCATCACGATGGGCTAACTGGCCTGCATTTTATTCTCATCTATCATCCCTTACCAGTGCTCCGTCGGCGTATACCGTTAGCGCAGGCGGGGTTACCATTCCAAGATCAGCCATTACAAAAAAACCTTATCATCATCATATCAGCCTTTATCTGTCCACTGCTGAGCATAAGCCTTTCCTTTTGGGGGGTTTGCCAGTAGTTGCCACGCTTGGCAGGCAGATTGGAAACTGAAGTTAGGTTTTCACAGATGTTTTAAGAGAGTCGCTGCTACCCATCCCTCGCTCTCCATTAGTCGACTCTTACGACACCCGCGGGAAAGGAAGGGATGGCCTATTCTATGCCAGGACCACAAGCCGTGATTTTATATAACAGCCTCGATAAATTTCAAACATCTGTCATCAACTGTCATATATTTTTAAGGTACTAGATCAAACAGAGCAGCACAGACGTCTCGTTCTAACGAATATAGCGCGGGATATCAGTACATGGATGGTAGCAGTGAGGAAAGAGAAAGCGATATACCACACTCTCAACATGTTCAGTATGGACATTGTGAAGAAATGCCTCATAGCGGAATGTTGGGTGCCACGACGGGATTTGTACATCTTGCAGAAGGCATTGGATGATGGCGTAGTAAGTATAAGAACATACTAAACATAAGAAGTAGCGAAGGACTTTTGGAAGGGCAGCTTTTGCAAATAATGGTTACCCCCATAAATATTCTTAAAAAAATTCATAATAAAAAAGTATTAGTCTTTTTTTTTAAATATAACTAGAGGTATTCCCAAATTGTTGATATTATTACTATTTTTTTTGTTTTCTAAATTAAATGTTACTTACATTTATAGTCATTTTTAATCATTTAACTAGTAAATTAAGATAAGATAAAGATATATTTATTTAACAAAGTATGTTTGTATTAGCACAGAATTTATCATTGCTTCCTACTCCAGGCTGAGCCTGTCCTGCAGGACAAATTTTGCTTTGAATAAGCGAATATTTAAATAATTTACAAAATATCTTTTAACTTTATTGTGATAAATACTTGTAAGCAATCTTTATATGCCACACATACTCATTTGTTTATCGTAGGGTATAATTTTGTTTTCAAAAATAAATTTAATACTGATAAAATCAACATCATCTGTAATGTTCCCTTAAACGATAAATATAGTAGTTTTTTATTATCTGCATAAAACTATTTATTTTTATTACATTTTGATATTGAAATACAAGATATTACGATATAATAATTAAAGATCGTATCCTACAAGAAACAACTACTTTAATTGTATTAAAATTAGTTATTTGGATCGAAAAACTAAACCGTTGGACCGATTTTGAGAAAAATGCGACGGGTCTATTCTGTAAGATAAAAAAAAAACAGTCCAAATCGGTTTACTGTGTGTTCAAACTGACGGAATTATTAGGTGAAAAACAAAAAAAAGGACCGAATTGGATACCTGCTTCTTTTTGAAGTCGGTTTAACGCTAATAACATTGAACAACATATTAACAGAAAGCAAGCGGCAGCCCCATCCCATCTATCCTGCATCAAGTGCCCACCAAAGAGATACCGCCGACCTTCAACCGCACGAACAAATTCACAAGGGGCTTCCAGAACCTTATTGATTCCTATGGAATCGCCAGCTACAGAGAAGTTAATCCAGGTATGTGTAATGCACACCAAACATCGAAATATATATATATATATATATATATATATATATATATATATATATATATATATATATATATATATATATATATATATATATATATATATAGGTCTTTAATCCTCGCCTGCCAAACATGGCAACGTTTGTTGGCAACCGTAGTTAAGCTTTGATGTTTTTTTTTTCTTTTACTACGCCCACAGGAAAATCTGGAAATCATACAGTTTATCAATAGAAAACCTTTACTGTTTCAGCTCTGTACACGATCATTACATTCCCCTTTCTGTTTGCTGTGATGTTCGGTGACGTCGGCCACGGCCTCATCATGACATTATTCGCTTCCATTGTTGTCATATACGAAAAGAAACTGGCCAAAAAAAAGACAGACAATGAAATCTGGAACATATTTTTCGGCGGACGATACATAATTCTCCTAATGGGCATATTCTCCATCTACACCGGTTTGATATACAACGATATGTTTTCAAAATCACTTAATATATTTGGAAGTAGATGGAAATCTGTATACGATAATGAAACGCTGACTAAGCACAAAATGCTTGAATTAGACCCCGCAGAGGCGTACACGCAAACACCGTACCCCTTTGGATTGGATCCAGTTTGGGAGGTAAATCATGATAATTATAATGTATTTCAGTAGAGCTTAGTGAAAATTTAAATACAAACTAATAATTGACTAAACAATAAGACAGTATAGTAATGACCAATACTAATACAGTAGTGATAGAATTAATCCCCACACCCTAGAACTAAAATGGTCACGGACAGTAAGATTTCAGAGGACGCTCAACTTGTGGAATAACCTTCCTGACGAAGTTTTTAAAGACTATAACGTGAGGTTCTTAAAAAAATTCCTAATAAAGATCGGCAACATACGCGTGACATCCCTAGTTTTACAGGCATCCATTAACTACGGTTTACCATCCAGCCCGTATAATAGTAAATCCCGTTTACCACAAGTTTATTTACTGGGTACGGAGGAATAACAGCTGAGTCCTCAGGAATGGCAACGCATGGGGGGTATGATGGGCGAAACAGTATACTCTGTTATGTCCATGGTACTGTTCATATCTATAGGCGACGGTTATCACTTCCTATCAGGTGGGCCGTCAGCTTGTTTGCCATTCTAAGTTGTATAAAAAAAAGAACAAACCGTACCTTTCCTGCCCATATAATAGTATAAAAAATACAAATAAAAAATCGATTACCTACTTGAATGTTGCTAATTTCGTTTAAAGAGTATTTCTGTAATAATTTCAACAAAACTTGATCACCTTTTCATTGTTATATCAGCCGTTAACTGTCCACTGCTGAACATAAGTCTCCCCCATAAGAAGGGTTTCGCCAGTAATTGTCACGCTTGGCAAAAGGGTTGGTAATCACAGTTTGGCTTTTAGTGATGTTTTAAATGGGACGCTGCTTCCCATCCTTCCACCATAAGCTCCATATGTTGTCTCTTATAATACCTACAGGAAAGGAAGGGATGATCAATTCTATGTCGGGACCTACAGCTGGGCCGAGTCGGGCGTCTAACCTTATCATTAAGTTCTATTAAAACAGATCACAGAAACGTACTCATATCGAAAATTGTCGCAACTTATAATATGTTTATGTTTTCAGTTCGCCGCAAACAACATAATATTTTTGAACTCGTTCAAAATGAAGCTGTCCATTATTTTTGGTGTGATACACATGGCCTTCGGTGTGACTATGAGTGTGGTAAACTTCAAGTAATTACTGTATTCATAGAAATTAGACCTAGTGAAGTGATGCCAACATATGTATATACAGGGTGGAATCGAAACCGTTAGCTTTACATCGTTAGGATTAATACCAGCTGCTGAATGTCATCACCGCAAACACCGCCACAAACTAAAATTCCATCCCGACTATCTAGATTAGTGACAGTTCTCCGCTATATTTCTATAAACATTTCTTCCACACATAACCATAAAAGAGCACATTCCTTCTTAAAAGGTCTGCATCAAAACTACAGTTTATCTGATGTCGCGTGTGAATATAGATGATGGTAATCACTTACCATCATATGAGCCTCATGCTTGTAAGTTTCTATATTATTTAAAAAAAGACTATTAAAGGGGTGTTCTTCAAGCGAAATTAAACATTTTATCAAATAAAGATGTTTCGGGAAACGACCAAATATTTTAAGCTACTCCGTACTATTACTTCATATCCAGCTTTGATTTCATTGTCACTTTTATGTTCTTCGTCAAAAACATTATTTTTTATTAATAAATTTCCATCCTTTTTCTATTCAATAGATGATTCTCCTATTTCTGTTTAGTTTATTAGGATTATTTGTTTATTTCCGCTACTATTAGTATGTGAGTGACTACCTAAATTTGAGGCTTGACTACAATTGTTGTTATTAGTAAAAGTTCCTACTTCTTCTATTCTATAAGGTAGTCTCAATTTTACGTAAAGCTGACGATTTCGATTTCATCTCTGTATCTTGATAAGTGATGAACCAACGTGTGTTTTCCTTTGACAGCTTCTTCAGGAAAACGGAACTAATATATCTACAGTACATACCGCAAATCCTATTCTTGCTGTTACTATTTTGGTATCTATGTATACTGATGTTTATGAAATGGACAATGTACTCCGCGACAGCAACAGGTGAGAGATATTCAATGTTGTATTAAGATAACCATTGAGATCAGTTTAAGAACTCTAGATTCACATTCTCACACTAAACGTCTCGAATTTAAAAAGAATTAAATAGTAATAACAAGGTAAAATATGAATCGAATACTTACCGTAAAGAAGAAACTGCAGGTCGAGACTTTATAAGAATATTTCTGCACGTTTAACAACAAATGTATTATTATGTCATATTGAATATTTAAAAATGAAATCAAAATTATTTTTCTTTTTCTTCTTATACAAGTTTTTGATTATATGTCTAGATTTTATTTAAACAGATACCATCAACTTTTATATTGCTGTTTAACAGTTTAAAAAAAAGTGTTTATCATTGTTGACTTTGTACATAAACATTTTTGCGCATCATTCAGTTAGAACAGTATATTTTAGAATTCCATACTAGTCTTCAACCAGTCATCCCACAAAAGAAAGAATCATTCGTTCATACAATTCATCAAGTATTGCATTCCCTTGAACGTATATGGTACCCTAGTATAACTTTTTATTTCATTTTTTCTTTCTTTGTACTGATTTGCTTTGCTCTGTAACCATAGTCTCCAAACATTACGTACTTACAATGACACTGCATAAAGGATTGTGCCTACATTATCTACCATTACCATTTTATCATATCCTCCAATTTACGTTAGCTTAATTAGTATTCACAGCACAATATTTACTGAAACAATAACATAATACCCCCTGCTCCCTGGGGCACCAATAGTAAAATGTACACGCGTATACAGCCTAAGGTCAAAGTAATTAAATGGCATTCATTGCCTGCTGTATTCTTTACTTGTTCCATTGAACGCTCTGAGACAATAATATGAATGGCTAATGGTTTGTTATACGTATAATAAATGGATGAAATAAAATGACAAAAAATAGACTGTTATTTCGATGCATTTTTGATAAATTTTTACGAGTTTTAACGTTTCATTGCCACCATATTCATTTTTGATAATATCACAATATAAATAATAATACTATTGATACACGATACCTCATACACCCACAATTAAGATGTATCTAATAACGCTTACTACAGCACATCTAGCTGTTTATTCAACACATTTCACTCAAATCCGAAGTTGTACATACACAAGAAAGATGTTATGTTACCTTATTTGTTTAGCCGTAAAATAAAAATGTCACAAACACGAATTGATTTTTGTACCTCCTGGAACGGCAAACAAGCAATAGCAAAAATGACAAACAACCACCTACTTAATAGAAAGAATTAAAACTAGGACTTCTTATCCAGTAATTTGACCCAGCTGCTTGAGGGTTAAGATAGAGGAACTCAATATATATACTTAGAATGGTAAACAAGCTAACGGCCCACCTGATAGAAAGTGGTAACCGTCGCCTAGACATGAGCAATACCATGTAAGTCCTTGTTCTTAGATACCAACAACGCAAGTGGGGCTACCATTCCATTTTCACCTATTAAAAAACTATACTGTATTTTAACTATGTTTTATTGTCCTAGACCCAGCTTACGGCACATCTTGCGCGCCTTCCGTCCTCATAATCTTCATCAACATGATGCTACTAAAGGAGACTGAATCGAAACCTCCGTGCAAAGCGCTCATGTACGACGGACAGGACGCGCTGCAGAAAACCTTCTTGGTGGTCGCGTATATATGCGTACCAATTATGCTGTTCGGCAAACCAGTGTATCAGATGTTAGCAGCGAAAAAACGAAAGGTAAATTTAGCATGACATGACATGGGAAAGGAAGGGGTGGTCTATCCTATGCCGGGAACTACATAGCAACTGACGTACGGAGTGCATATTACTTTTTTTTTATATAACTTAGAATGGCAAACAAGCTGACGGCCCACCTGATGGAAAGTGGTAACCGTCGCCTATAGACATGAGCAGTACCATGGACATAACAGAGTATACTGTTTCGCCCATGATATCCCCCATGCGTTGCCATTCCTGAGGACTCAGCTGTTATTCCTCTGTACCCTATAAATTCACGCCGAATTTACAAGGTACAAAGCAAATTATTGGTCCTTGGGATCAACAACAATTAAAAGAATCAAAATATTAGAAACACAAATTACAAGAGAGTTTTCTCTTCCAGCAATACCGTCAAGGCGTGGAGAGTGGCGAGGCCGCCGAGCAAGATGACGAGCAGGACGGCGGCATGGGCGAGGTGCTGATCACGCAGGCGATACACACGATCGAGTACGTGCTGGGCACCGTCAGCCACACGGCCTCCTACTTGCGGCTGTGGGCGCTGTCTTTGGCTCATGCACGTATGTATTAATAAATGATAACTTTATTTGCTCCAATACAGGTTAATACTTTAGAATTTTTAAATGTTAAATAAAACACTCTCTGCATTCAACTGTGTGGCGTGCAAATATTTTATGTGGAATAAAATTTCGCATTAAAATAGTCTTCAAGCGAATAAAAACATTCGTCAATGAGCCAATGGTAAAGTTTTTCATTACATTTTTTGTCTGTCTGTATTCTGTTACATTAATTACATTCATACTACTATCTCAAATTATTAACAAATAATATAATAAGTTCTCTAAGTTACTTCAATAAGTTACTTGAAGGGGAAAATTGTTACTTCTTTTATGGATTTTGTTTTTATTTTTTTATTTTTTGTATATGTACCCTTTTTTCTTTTTTCACTGTGTATGTCTATGAATGTCTGTTGTTATTTGTGTAATGTAAATAATGCAGATAAGTTATCTATCTATCTATCTATCTAATGGTGAGTTGACGACTGAAATTATAAAAATAATACAAATATCTCACCTACAGTTCTTGCAGTTTACGATCACGTAAACTTTACTTATGATTAATCATATCAACCCTTAAATGTTTACTACTGTACATAAGCTTCCCCCTTGGGGGGATATATATATATTATAAATAAATACACATAACGTATATATGTCTCTTCATTACAGAACTATCTGCGGTACTTTGGCAGCGTGTACTTCGCATCGGTCTCGGCGGTGGGTCCCCGCTGAACTCCCTCACGTTGTTCGTGATCTTCGCTATATGGGCGTTCTTCACTCTCGCCATACTGGTGCTCATGGAAGGGCTGTCGGCCTTCTTGCATACACTTCGATTGCACTGGTTAGTATAAGCAGAATTATCGAACCATTCAGATATTAAATATTATTAGGTAATGCATGGTGATGAACTTAGATCAGTTAGCCTATCGTGAAGAGTTCACCAGTAATTAGCCATGATGGCTTCCAGGAGAGACCGTACGGAGGTCGACCTGACAGCGGATACTGCTAACGATGTTTTTTTTTTATACCACTGAGGTGGGAAGCAAACATACGGCCCACCTGATGGTAAGTGGTTACCGTAGCCGTCGCTAGTCCCCCTTTACTAACAATCCCTTTTCCTCCCAAGGTATCAATTTATTCTCATCACGCACACCAGACGGGGATAGAATTAATTATTACTTTTTATTTTATTTTTTCATTTATTTAAACTTTAATGCACAGTGAAACTATGTACATATGACGGACTTAACACCGTACGGTGTTCTCTACCACTCAACCATTGGGCAAACCGAGAAATAAGTAAGCGAAGCCTTATTGAATTGCAGAAATATAAAAAGTAACACTTAATACTCGTATATTCACATGTTATATAGATATAAGTATATATTTTTAACCTAGATTACCTGGGGCAAAGAGATTGTTAGTAATGGGGTCAAATAGCTTCATTACTAGCAATATACCCTGTCAGGTCGACCTCCGCGTGGTTCCCCCTGGAATTGGTCAATTCTAGTTGAATTTGTTAGGATGGGCTAACTGACCTGCTTTCATCCTCATCAGTAATCTATCACTGGTATACCGATATATGGCCAGCGTATACCGATAGCGCAGACGGGGTTACCATACCATTATCACCTATTAAAAAAAACCTTAGATTACCTTTAAATACCAGACTACCTGCTGACATACGGGATAGTCCTTCCATTACTTCCTTCAAGAGAAGACTGAAATCACATCTTTTAACCAATTGTACATGATAATTCTATGCACTTATACATATGTATATATATTTATCTATTTACTCATATACGTATTTATTTATTTATTTACCTATTTATTCACAATAGTGTTTGATATATTTACATTATTTTCACTGGTGCCTTTTCTGCACTGGATTACCCAAATTAAATCATTTTCTCTCTAACTACACTGGGTCGGCTGGAAGAGATCTCTTTCAGAGATAAGTCCTCCCTTGCTAACAAGTTGTTAAACTAATCGTCGCATATATTGTTTAAGTGCAATAAAGTATATATATTAAATTATTGTTACCAGGGTGGAATTCATGAGTAAGTTCTACGAAGGCCACGGCTACGCCTTCGCACCGTTCTCCTTCTCGGCGATCCTCGAGAATGATGAAGAGGATCCACCAGCTCAAACCAACGGCGCACCGCCCGAGTGACAAGAGCTCACTGATATACATATAAACTAGCAATAACTAAACCAGTATCTAGGACTTTTTAGAGTCAAAGATAAGATAAGAGTTTAAGATGAGACTACTTCGATAATTTATTCTACTATTTTAATATACAAACATAAATACCTTAGATTGGGGGAAAGGGATTGTTAGTAATGGGATCTAACTGCCTTATTGCTAGCAATACACCCTATCAGGTCGACCTCCACGTGGTTCCCCCTGGAATCCATCATGATTAATTCTAGTGGAATTCGTCATGATGGACTAACTACTATTGCTAGCAATGGGTCAATTAGACCCCATTACTAACAATCCCTTTCCCCCCGCCAATTAGCGTGTTGTCACAGATAAAAAATAATTTCCTAAATACAGTTTAACGCGACCTTAAAAATTATGTTCAATAATCAAATTGTTTGGAGTAGTTAATCTTGTTTTAAGTAGATAGTTATTTTATTCAAATAAAAATAAGCTTAATCTAATACATAAGCTTTCGAATGTTAAGTACATGAATATATGTACTATGTATACCTACAATTGTAATTATTATATTATTATTTGTAATGTGAGTCAAGAATAACTTTGTTAGAGACTGATCGTAATTCTATCAAATGACTTTTACTGCCTTCTAAGGTAAGGAACAATTACAAATGTACCTAACGTTATAAAAGACATTTTCACATCTCTACGTAATTATTCATTACAAAATACTCGTGATCACTGTACATGCTCACATCGAAAATAGAATCGAGGCGTCTACCGTGAAACATAATTCCGAAGTGTCGAACTGAAATTTTGTTCGTACGATAAAACAGCCTACCTACCACGAAAGTTTGAAATTGCGGACCGAATAAATGTCACGAATTTGTTAAAATTACAAAAGATTTACTTTCAAAATGGTATAAGTTCGATCATTCGAACACTTCATTGAGAGGTTTGTGATAAAGGAAAAAATACTATACGTCTACAGAACTACTTTTTAAAGTTGTTTAGCCACTATATTGGTGATACGACTGTTTCTTTGTACATATTTTCGAAACTTTGGTAGTACAATACACGGTAAGTAGACATTTCACTAAATTCAAAACGAAATCTAGCCCGTATATAACGAAAGACATTTCGTACGTCAGAAAGTACTCCAAGTATTCAAACGATCGAAATTATAACACTTTCATGTATTTTTTATGATTGTGACAGACAGTGTGTATTTATTTTGTGTCGATTGAGTTTTCATGGTAGGTAGGTAATCTGCGATGCAATTTTTTATTAAATCATATTTAAATGTATTACGATTTGTATATAAATCTCTTTGTATCCACAATTATAAATTCTATTTTTAAAATACGAACCAAAACCGACAAGTTGAAGTGAGGTTCTAAATTTTTTTTTCTGCGATCTCTATTAAATTTCTGTATGCATAGGTACAGCTAGCTCGAAATTGTCAAAGAATGTAATATTGAGGATGACTTTATTAATTTCTTTTTTAGTTAAATAACCCTTATTGCTCATATACAGACGTCCCTCTTTTCCTTACACATTAATTACAAAATAAAACCATATTGCACAATGTCAATACAACATGTTCATTCTTTATTCATATTTGATGACGTCATCACTTTTCGAATCCTGCATTCAAAAAAAGAATGACGATTTATAAGTGCTTGTAAACAATTGTATTTGAATAAACATTATTTGAATTACACATATCTGTACTTCGTTAAGTTCTTTTTAGGCAAATTACAAAAATCAATATTTTTTATTGCAAGTATATAACAATATGTATTACTAGTAAGTCTAGAATATACCACGATAAGATATTCATTAAATAAAGTGCCTATTAAGTGTTTATATGTTTAACGTTTTAAAATAAAAACAAAATACAATTATTGGATTATAAGAAAAAATAATATTATTTTTCTTTAATTCTTTTTGATGAAATAAAATACGTTCCTTTTATTTATTTTTTTTTCTATCATAATCTTTAAATATACATGTCTTGTTTTTGAAAATATTCATGCTATCTATTCACTCTTTTGTTACTCTATTTTATATATATAAATAATATAAAATTAATAATAATTTTCATCTGTATAAGTTATAATAATTGTAAGTTATTAAACCTATAAGTAAAACTAATATTAGATAAATAAGAGATTTTGTTATTATAATTTTATTCTCACGGTTTTATACCAAAGAATTGTTTATATTTTATATTGTTTGTTAAACACTCTATTTTTTTATATATATAAGTATAATATATACTATACACTTAGATATAATTTATATGTTTCTATCGAAACCTATAATATTTTAACTAAAAACTGAATTAAACCTATTTTGCACTAATAAATTTAAAGTTGTAGAAATTTTATACATCAAGCTCTGAATCATCTAACAACATAATCTGACAAACAGACAACAACAATAAATAAATAAATAATGGTAATAGTAATTCTGGGATAAAAAATAAGTTTCTCTTAATTTAATCTATTTTACGTAAATAATACCTTCATAAAAATAAAACATACATTATTTTATATTTTATTCTATCAATTAACGAGTCTGAGCTGACTTTTCTATATACATATGTATACAACTACAGTATGTACAAATCATATCAGTAATGAAAGTAAAACCATTTTTTTTTTTAAAGAAAAATATTTTATTTCCTAAATTTGATTTCACTATATTACTTATTAATAACAAAATTAAAATAACACATATCCAAGACTTGAAGTAATTTTTTTTTTTACAAATATCACTCTATAGAACGGTTCCCTGTTTACCAGGTTAAAACAATTGCATATCGCTTTGCCTTAAAACGATAGGTAATAAATAATAGGTATATTTCGAAATGTAACTACATAGTTAAATACTTCGTATAACAGACACTTTATACAAAGGTCATTGACTTAAATAATTCTGTCCCATTTTTATGATCAGATCATCATTATGATAATTTTATGCTAGATTTTTTGAATAAAAACTCATTTAGAAACTATGAAACGTATACAAAAATTTAATGTAATTTTTTAAGTAACTTAGCTCCATTTGTATTTTTACCATGAAGCAGCTGTACTTGTTTGGCTGAGTTACAGTTTGTTTAAAGCGATGTGTAAAGATCAATTTTATAAAAAAAATCAAGTCTTTAGAACAATTTGTACCGATGGTGCCTGTTTTTACTGTTCTAAGAGAAATATACTATAAAACTAAACTAAAAAGAGAAATCTATCTATATATATATATATATATATATATATATATATATATATATATATATATATATATATATATATATATATATATATATAATATATAAACTATCGCCATATATATTAATATCTACCAGATTAGGTTTTAAGAACGATTTATGAGCTTAGAATACTTAGAATACCTATTTAATCGTAGAACACGATTGTATATTGAATTATTTGCTCGAAAATGTGTATAAAAGTGCCTGATAAATATTATATCGTTTATATATAAGTGAACATCGACTTTTTCTATGTCACAAACATTGAATTACACATATCTAGACTCTATATTCCTTTTTTTTTTAGTACGTTGTGGAACATGCTAAGGTCGGAGACCATACTGCCTAGTCTTCAATATGATAATTTGTCTGGAATTTTAATTTTCCAATGTTTTTAAAAATTTGTGTCGCTTCAATTATTCAGTCATAGTCTTCAATATTTTATTTGTCAATTACAGTTTCGTTAAGTACATTTTCATAAATTTCTTTTCTTGAGTTTTCTTAAACCAGTGGATTTAAGTTGTGAATGTAAGTAAGAAAATCAAATAAAAAAATAAGTAATTAGAAAAATCATTATCTTGCTTTTCAATAATAGTATTCTTATCTATATTCCCTTTAGAGGTATATAGTATAGGTGTAGGTACACCAAATATTTCTTTTTAAAATTATATCATTTTTTCATTATTCTTTTTTTAAAAACATTAGTGATTAACCGTAGATAGAGGACCGCAGGACCTTAATATAAGATTATTAATGTCTATCTACTACTACTACAATTATAAAAGAATTAAACAGCCTAAATATTTCATGACACCTCCTAAAAATTCAAAATTCAGCAATTATCTATTTTGTCATTTATTTAAATATCCTTCTATCTCAAAAACTGTAGTTTTATAGTATTCTATATTTTTTTTGTTTTTGTTGAAACCAATTTTCTTACACTTTATTATATAACAGTTTAAAAAAGATAGTTAAATGTTATTATATAGTCGTAGTACCTAAAAAACAACAAAATGAAATCACACACCACAAATTTTAAAACCTTTATTGCAACTTTATCTACACATTAAACTCAACTGCACGCTACAATGACATAACACAGAAATATTACGTATCTATTGACAGAACAAAATTCATAAAAAAAATAACAAATTACAAAATGTCATTCCTCAATAAACGAGTTCTACCCGAATTTGAGTATTATTTCTTTAACTTCTCGACTAATCCTAATTTTAGTAAAAAATTATCTATGAAAACTACTTTAAATTTTATACATAATTGATTAACTTCTAATTTAATATTTGGAAAATAGTCTTAAACATTTTCTTAAACATACAATTTTTTTATCAAAAAAGGAAATATAAGGACAATTGGTGTTAAATATTAAATATGCTCTTTTATATACTCCAAGTATATTTAATTATTGAATGTACCTACATTCATCAACAGTGTGATAAAAGACAAAATATGTTCAAATGATCAAACCTTAGATTACATAGATAGAGCTTCGAGCCTCAAAAACGGGTCAAATTTTTATCGGCTAATTGTCAAATTAGCTGTTTCTTTTATTATGAGTGTTCTATATATACATAGGTACGCACACAATATATCTTAAGGTATTATTTAATAAATGAAACATGTATAACTGTAACTACTAATAAACTGTAAATTTTTCTCATATTGGCTTTGCTGGAAGGAATCACTTTTAGAGATAAGCTCGTCATTGCTCGCTATTATGTTTTTTTTTCTACTTTAATAGCTTTTTGTGCCCAATAAAGAATAAAATGTGTACTTACATTGTAAGAGAAAATAAATATAGAAGTTATGGAGGAATCGCCCATAACTATTTATCAAAAGTTAACCCGCTTATATCAAAGCATTTATATGGAGATTATCTATATAATCTAAGAAGCAAAACCTATAATTTTTTTCCACCGTTGGAGAAGATCTGCAACATTTATCATGAAATAAACATGGCTTTCCATGCATCATGTTAGCAGAATATATCTAGCCATTAAGAAATAATAACAGGGTAAGTAAAAAGTAATACTAATTACCTTTGTGTCGTATATACTTGTAATATTACAATACATATATATTCATACAATTTATTGCACGTGCATAAATATAAAAGCAAATGGAGATAAAAATTCAAAAAACCTGTTTAAAGCAAACAATAACTTTTAAATGCCTATAAATTCAATTTTTCACATTATATATATTTATATTTGAATATTTCTATTCCAAACCCCCTTTTATACGTAGCTAATATTATTCATGATCTATTTTTACAAAACCTTTACGAAACCTGTAACAAATTATTACAATAAATTGCCTATTTTTACTCAATATTGTATATTGCTAATTTCTAAAAGTAATAATAATAAGTTCCAATAATTATTCACAAAATGTAGATTATAATTTGTTTAGTCTATACAAGACATAATAACTATGTATGTACCTATATGTATACTAATAAAATTTTATCATTTTATTAAAATCCATAATTCCCTTTGGTTGACTTCAATTTAGTGTCCTCTATCAACAATATTATAAAAAAAATTCGATCTTTATATCTACATGTCACTAATGTATACTGAAACTTTACATCAAGTCCATATAAGAAATATCGGTACCAACGCACTGTGAATTCTTTTCAACGTCCAAAGTTTCCGTTGCTACGGACTTTCTTACACTCTTCGTCGAAAGTCTTGTCTGTACACCGACTGACCTAGACGCCTTTATTTTAGGAAGTCGAATCCTTTTATCTTGGTACCGACAGCCCTTAGCTCCGGAGTCTTCGTAAAAGCGCTCGAAGCGCTTTGTTCCGCCGCTAGGAACAACCGTGACGCTGCATCCAACCAGTGTAGCGCGCTACATCAGCTTGAGTGACGGTGCGACGGGTCTTGGCTACCGCCGCGTCTAAGTCATCCTTGGACACCGGTGCTTCTAACTCTGACCGTTTCAGCTTACGAATCTGCTCTGGACTCTTGCCGGCTATTTTTCGACGCATTGTCATCATTGCTGCATCTCTATAAAAGCAAAGTTTCTTTTAGTATCGAAAAGTCTTGCGATTTACTTCGATTCGATCTCAACTAATAGATATTGCAGCACTTGAATGAATGAATGAATGAATTTTCATTTACTAAATATTGGTGATTAAATTATTAAATATTGGTGAGCAATATTTACCATTAAATAGGTCGTAAAACTAAAAACCGAATCTTTTTGTAATATGGATAAAATTATATTACGCCGACCCCAAATGATTGGGATAAGGGTAGGAGGATGATGATGAAATAGGTGTGTAAATGTTTTTTTTACAATTACTAAAATAATATAGTCATAGTATAACCAACATGAAAAAGGCACAGCTTTGTCCTGATAAAAAATAGGAACCTACCCATTTTGAATTGAAGATTTGAAAAACCCTAATAACTGAAAAAATTAAACTGGAATAATTATTGTAGTGTATAGCAGCTATTATATTCTTTAAAAACTCATTAACGTCCTACTGCCGAACATTGGGAGAAAGGGATTGTTAGTAATGGGGTCTAACTGACCCATTACCAGCAATATACCCTATCAGGTCGACCTCCACGTGATTTCCCCTGGAAATCATCATGGCTAATTCTAATGGAATTCGTCACGATGGGCTAACTGACCTGCTTTCATCGTCACCTATCATCCTTCACTGGTGCCCCGCCAGCGTATACCGATAGCGCAGGCGGGGTTACCATTCCATTATCACCCTTAAAAAAAAACTGCCGAACACTGAGAAAAAGAATACAGCCTATTATTACTTAGTTAGCCACACAGATTTTGTAGGAGCACGGGTAGTAGTGCCGTGTGGTTCCCGCATAGAATGGGTTACCCCTTCCTCTCCTGTGAGTGTCGTAAGAGGTAACTAAGGGAACTTAATAGTCGAGGAGTGGCCAGCAATGTTCCTCTTAAAACATCACCAAACCTAACTGTGGTTACCAACTCCCTTATTAAGCTTGGCAACTACTGGCAAAACTCCCTTTATTGGAGAGGCCTATGTTCAGCAGTGGACAGTTAACGGCTGACATAATGATGATGATGATGATGACATATAGCAATATCTATTTACCCTTAAAGGGAAAGTCAAAGGAACTAAGCCAATTTGATCTTCTGTAATTTTTTTTCCACTAATAGGTATATTATACTTTACCATCTCCTAGGTCAAGAACATGCTCTTGATTGATCAACGCACTACGCGAAAAACAGCTAAATACTCACCTGCATAGATTACAAATATCCGACCCACTGTACCCTTCGAGTCTGGATGCTAGCTCTGGCAAATCCACGTCATCGGATAACATCACTTCGCGAAGACATAACTTGAGCAGTTTCACGCGTGTTGCCTCTGCAAATATTAAAACAAGGTCAATATATTGTAATCAAGTATGTGTATCGTTGTCGAGAACTGTATTATGTTTCATTTTGTATGAAACACGAAACTAACTCCAATGACAAGACCCTTAGATCTTTACGTTATTTAAAGGCGACATTTCGCGTTGAGGTCACGCGTTCTCGAGTAAGCCAATAAAAACGAAATTATGAATACGATTTCAAGTGGTTTTTTTATTAATGGATGAAATAGTGACCTTGCCTGCGCTATCGATATACACTGGCGAGGCTGCAGTAAGAGATGATAAGTGAGGATGAATGCAGATCAGTTGGACCATTGTGACGAATTCAACAGTAACCACTGTAGTTCCCAGAAGGAACCGCGTGGAGGTCAACCTGATATTGCTAACAAGGAGGCAGTTAGACTTCATTACTAACAATTCCTTTCCCCCCCCCCCCAGATTTCAAATATTATGCCCCTATGATCTTAAATATACCATTGACTCGAATTATTAATTAGAACATTGAATCGAATGGGAGATTCAAAATTTCTATCGTTTTCGACCACAGTGTGTTTAAAAAAAAATACAATTTTACTGGAAAAACATTCTATTAAAAATATGCTATGTATATGTCTATAAATATAAGTACCACGTAATTAGCAGAGGCTGGAAAACTTCAAAATCACAAAGTTGAAATTCTGTATAAAAGTTCCTTACGGTTACGGTATCCTAGTGATCTATCTCTAAGAATAGATTATATGAAATAAGATAGACTAAGAAGAAGAATGATTCTAATAGTAACGGATCCATTCTCGGGTATGTTCTCTGTATATTTAAAAAAATCATATTACCATCTGGAAGTCCTACGTAAATTCTCTTCTCGAACCTTCTTCTGAAAGCTTCATCTATATCCCATGGGTGGTTTGTGGCCGCCAGCACCATTATTATCTTGTCTTGATTACTAAGAAAAAACAATAAATGTAATAACTAACTAAATAACTGATGTAATAAACGATCTGGATATATAAATATTCATTACCAGAAGTAACATAGCTTTCTATTTTTACCTAATGGTTAGCTGGTAAAGAATACCATACGCCATTAAACTCGTCATTTGTACAAATGTTATTGTGCAATAAATAAATATACAATTTGACAAATTTTCAAATGTACCTTATTCTACTCTTAAAATATAAGACTAATGTTTTTTTTTATAAACAACTATAACTAATTACTTATATGAATGTATCACCATTTTGTGTCATAAGTTTTTAAGCCGCCTTCACTAAGTCCTTTGACATGGTTTAAAGTAAGTGACAATGTTCTTTTTTATGGTGCTTTTTATATATGCATATATAAAAAGCACTGCAAGCACTGTACTGTAAAAAGCACACGGCTGTATAACAGAAATAAATAGATATTATTCTACCCCTTATTGTTCAAGAAAGAATATAAGAGATTTGATGTCAATATATCATAAATAGTTTTGTAAGTAGCATATATCTCTGGATATTTGATTAGAATTATTTTATTTAATTCGAAAATGAATCATTCACAGTGTACCGAACAGTTAACACTAAGCTCCGAGCAACGATTTATTAATTTGCTTGAAGATGACTCGTTTAAAGATGAAACACGTGACGCAAAATGAGCGTGGGCGAAATGGCAGTCGGAGATTGATGGCTAATATGAAAGGTTGCAGAAATTCTAGTAATAATAATAATTAATCTTGGAATGTACCAACATTCCAACAATCACACACATAATAATGATAGTGGAATTAAACAAAATAATTCTAATCAAATAACCAGTGATATGAACTTCCGCAAAATAACACCTAGCTCAGTAAAATATTTAATGTATATCTTACAAAGCAGCAGCAAGGCCATCCATCTGGATCAGGAGCTCCGCCTTGAACCTCCGCGACGCTTCGTGCTCCGAGTCGGCGCCTCGAACCGCGCACAGGGAATCAACCTCGTCCAAGAATATTGTACTCGGCGCGTAGAAAGACGCCTGTATAAATAAATTTATTAATTATATATTATAGTGATTTATTGTTCGTTTAGAGTTCTATATCTATATGGTCTAAACTATAAACAACAATAAATGCTAGAAAATAAAGAAAAAAACAAGTATACAACATTCGTCTCGACTTGAATCTCGTACAGTTGTCTTGTTGCTTGTGTTTGCATTGCTGTGTTTCGGCTTGTAATATGGAATAGCAATGAAATTACAAGGTACAGAGGTATAACACCTTAATTCTCAGGAATGGCAACGTATGAAGGGTATCATAGGCGACACAGTATACTCTGTTATGTCCATGGTACTGTTTATGTCTATAGGCAACGGTCACCGCTTTCTATCAGGTGGGCCGTCAGCTTGTTTGTTATTCTAAATTGTATAAAAAAATATGGTGTAAAATTGCCATTCATTAAACGGTTTTATTTAGCTCGACCTGTACGGTATTTATTTATTTGGGTCAAAATTAGAAATTGGAATTTAAGCACCTTCCCGTTGTCAGATTGATCTGAAATTTGGTACACACATTTAATTTAGATGACAATACAATATAATAAAATCAATAACATTATAAATCTAAGATGGCCGCCGATACAAAATGGCGGATTACATATTTTTCCTTAACCCCCGCAATATGGGTATCAAATGAAAGGGCTACACTAGTAAAACACGATGATTATGTCAAAATTTAAAATTCAAGATGGACGCCGTTCCAATATGGCGGACTAGGTACATATTTTTCCACAACCACCACAATATGGGTATCAAATAATAGGACTACACTGCAGAATACTGTCATTATGTCAAAATTTCAAATTCAAGATGGACGCTGTTACAAAATGACGTATTAGGTGGGGGCATGATTAGTCGTATCGAGAACAGTTGCGTCTAAGATTGTGTGACGTTAGAGGGGCAGATAAAAAAAAATAGGTAATTAGATACCTCGTTAGTAAGCGGTAGTTATACCACCCAAGTTAAGGTAATAGGTTAAAACGTGCCGAGGACTGTATGGCATTAGGGTGGATAAAAATGTAATGTCGTAAGCGCTTCCCCCTCAAGATTGGGCGCATCTTGTTGTATATTAAGCCTTGCCCCTTTACTGGACTGCGGGGGGGGGGGTCGACCGTTAAAATGCCCCTTAATCGTGGGAACAACATGGTAACAATAAACAAAAAATACCAACAAATATAAATAAGACTGGAGGCTTACCATCAGTACTTGAAATATTTGTAGGTGCAAAAGTAATGTTGCGGTCCAACATTGACGTTACAAAAGGATTGGTAAATGACGCTATAGGCCACATTACAGAAATTGTTTGGCCTCAGTTCCGTCGAACCCAAATGTACGAAACAGATATATCATCAGTTTTAATTGACTTTGGCACAGACGGCATGCACGTTATTTACCCTAAAGCCATACAGTTTCCAGCAAAATTCAATTATGGTACGGCTGAAAAAAGGATGTTGCCCTTAGTTTTGTCATGGGCATTCACCGTCCATAAAATGCAGAGCAGCACCGTCGACCATGCAGTAGTATATTTGGGCTCAAAATGGTTTGAGGAAGGACAAGCATACGTGGCTCTAAGTCGAGTCAAGTCTCTGGAAGGGCTATGTATTGAGGAATTAGATTTGTACTAAATTATCAGGTAAGAAACCATGTAATAATGATGCACTGAATGAATTAAATAGAATGAGGAATATTCGGTAAACAATTTCACTAAATACTAAAAACAAGAAAATAAAAATCGGTAAAAAAACTTTTAAGTTAAACGGTTTTATTTTATGTGCACTGAAAACTACAAAATAAATAAATAGTTACTTACCTATCAACCTACGTAGGTGATCTCGGTCATTAATATCTCTGATGGTAGTGGTTGTTATAACATGAACCATGTCAGCGGCCGAAAGGCAGTTCATGAGAGAACACTAACACCAGGGTTTGCTTGGTAGGTAAACTAAGCAGCCCACACTATAACAAGTAGGTATTTTGACCTTCTAGTTCAGAAATATTTTAGTACTAGGCAGAATAGCTTTTAGGCATATTAGACTAAAATAAAAACGTGGGGCCCCTCTGAAATCATACCTATAGCAGAGCATATCTTATACTTTGGTAGATCATGAGCTCGGCGTTCGCTGGTGAAGCCGTAACGGCTGGTTATTGATGGTCAAAACCTCCAGTTACGATTATAGTAAGTCGATTCAGCGGACCCTGGACTCCGGAGCTATGAGGTTTCGGATGCGACCGGGACAAACCGCTAGGATGATGATGATGACGATTATAATAAGTCGATGCAATCCACACTTATTATAGTAGAAAATAATACAGAAATAGTTAATGGGCCCCACGTTTTTATTTTAGTCTAATATGCCTAAAAGCTATTCTGCCTAGTACTAAAATATTTCTGAACTAGAAGGTCAAAATACCTACTTGTTATAGTGTGGGCTGCTTAGTTTACCTACCAAGCAAACCCTGGTGTTAGTGTTCTCTCATGAACTGCCTTTCGGCCGCTGACATGGTTCATGTTATGACAACCACTACCATCAGAGATATTAATGACCGAGATCACCTACGTAGGTTGATAGGTAAGTAACTATTTATTTATTTTGTAGTTTTCAGTGCACATAAAATAAAACCGTTTAACTTAAAAGTTTTTTTACCGATTTTTATTTTTATATAACAAATAATATATATATAACATATATTAGATATCTGATTGGGTAAACTTTACAAGACAAGCCTTAAATTAATCCATTGATAACTTACCGGAACGGGGTGGCATACAAGAAAACGATACACCTAATGAAAAGTGGTAATCATCGCCTACATACGATATACATCATGAGGTTCCTACGGTTTAATTTAAGCCATATATAGTATATAAATATCTTGTAAAAAACTAAAATGAAAGGGTTTAAAACAAACTATAATTGCAATTCTAACCATGTCAAATAAAAGTCTGACGAGCTTCTCGGAATCGCCTCTGTACTTCGACGTCAGTGTTGCGGAGGACACATTAAAAAACGTAGTCCGGCACTCGGTCGCAACTGCTCGTGCGAGCAATGTCTTGCCTGTTCCAGGAGGACCTGTTAGTAGTACACCCTTCCAAGGTCTCCGGATGCCCTACAAGTACACAGGTAAGTGGATGAATGTATTGTATAAATTTTAAATAGTTGCATGATGTCAATGTAATGTGGAAGCGTTGAAATATGAGGGAGATAAAAATCTATTCGTATTGTTTTGATTTTCGAAATTTCTTCTAAAGACATTTCTTCCACCAATCCATATAGTCATTCACACTTCATCCTCCTCCACTTCATCTTCAAATGTGATATTTAAAAACAGTTCAAAATGACGTGGCAATAAAATATAAAGCAGTGGCCATGAGTACTGATCCGATATATATATATATTGGATTAGATAACCGACATTTAAGATATCCGTTATCGAGCCAACATAAGATATTGTAACTACAAATATAGGTTATATGTTTGTAGTCTCTAATATACATGTAGTAGTGTATCTAATTTACATTACTCATCCCTGTCTAACATTGAAAAAATTCAAACTTATTAGATCTTAGATCTTCAGTGACTTTTTTTCAAGACTAATTTATGCAGAAAGTAGAAAAAATAGATAACAAAATTTTGTTTTTAGCTTTATATTCTAATTTATTGGGTGTTTAATTAAACACCCAATAAATTAGAATATAAAGCTTCACTGATTTTTTGTCTTTCAAATCTTAAAAAACTTAATTTTGACAAATTTTAATAAACAATGTTGAAATGTTTGCAATATTATTCAAGAAAATAATGTCGAAAATGTATAATTAATCGCCAACTCGAAAGGGTAAACGAGTGAGCAGCACACGATGTTATCGCTCACGCGAATGCCCAATTTAAAGTAGGTCTTATTGCGTCTAGTGAGGTAATTACAAAATTAGTACGATGTTCGGAATATTACTAGTAGTTGGGAATTTTCACTTTTTGAGATTTCTAGAAAGAGAAAACCTTTAATCTCTACAGTCACTTTCCATTATTGTATCATTTACCATGGACCATGGTAAATGACCATGGACAGGAAATTCATTTTCATTCTGTAGAACCTCAATGGTCGAATACAGCGCGGTTTCAGATAATTATATCTCAAGAACACTTAGGTTGTGAAATGAGCTTCCTACTGGGTAACTAGCGTGCATGAAATTCTTCTAAAAAGGTTCAATAAAATTTATTAAAGGTATTCCATTTACCCTCAACTGGACCATATGCTTGTTTGCTACCATTGTAATATAAAATAAAGCTTACACAAATTACCTTAAAATAATCGGGCATAACAAGAGGCAAGACCATTGCTTCTTGCAGAACTGACTTCGCATCGTCCAAACCGATTACATCCTTCCAACGGACGTCCGGATTCTTCTGCAATATATCCCTTTCAAGGGTTTCCACAAGATGTAATTCATAACCAGTAGCGTCAAAGGCTTTTTCGTCCTTTTCTGGTATTGTTATATCAATTCCATCGCCTGAAACGTCTTTTCTCATTGTGGGTTTGATAGGTACCAATTGTCTTCCTCTAGACCTTGGCATTCTTTCGACCGATCGACACTTTCTGCCACTTCCAACTGAAGAAGATGTGGAGGAAGTCTTCCGTGTAACAATAGAAGGTAATGTTGGCTGAATATCTGGATCTCTTCGTCGTAATGTGCCCGCCCATTTTTCTGTTGTTGGATCTGTTTGCTTCACCTGATCTACGGTTTGTTCTTGGAATGTGTTTGCTTGAGTTGGTCTGACTACTGTAAAATGCATAAGGAAACATTTTGTATATAAGTGTATATATATATACAAACTTATATTCAAACTTATATCAAATTTCAATTAGTTGTGAAATATATAACACTAGTTTTACCATCACCAAGAATATCCATTATAGTTCTGATAGAAGGATATCGCTTTTCAACTTGATAAATAATTTACGATCTATTTTATGATATGGTGCACCAAACTACACTACGAAATTGTGAACTGTAATAGAAACTGAATTAATAAAACACCCATAATTCTAAGTATTTGAACCTTGTGTAGGTGGATGCCGTGTACCGTTAGCAGCATGTGTATCAGGCTGGGGCTTCGCTCTCTCACGCCGTACTTCGCTCCTCTCAGTCCTAACACCGTCTCGGGGAGGATCTTGGCTGTTTCTGTTATCTCCGTTCCTCCGAGTGGTCATCCTCGCGAAGCCAAATGGCTGGAGACTCTCGACCATCATGCGGTCCATCATCCGAGCCATTTGGTGGAACCCCGAAGATGGACTGTCAAAAAGTATTTTCGTTTAATTTATAACAAAAAAATTCTGAACCTATGCTTTTCTGTAACTTCGACATCACACTTGCAACTTTAGTTTAAATCTATAAAAAAGAAAAATAAAACTACCACCATTTTTATCGCACCCCTTATACGGTGGTTCAGCATAATTAATATCATTTGCTACCTATAAATACCTGTGGCTACGGTTATTCTTTCTATCAAGCCGTCAGCTTTTTTGCCAATTTCATTTTATACTAATAATAAAGACCCCATATCATCTGATTCACTTTTCTCGTCTATTTGTATAGACTAAATAAATTCATACAAGAAAATGTGCTTTTCAAAAAGGACACAAAGCATATGACTGATACAAGCAGGCACCATCAAAGTCATCTTTTTTGCATTGCCAATGAGTGATAGCAAGATTTTTGGTCACAGTACCCGATTATATTACTGCCTTACATCTCATTTAATAAGATTAAATTTCTTTCATTAATCTGACATACCCGAAAGGCGAATCATGTTCAAAGAATTGTCTCAGCCCTCCAATATTGGGGTATAAAAAATCGCCAAATCCAAAATCCATCTTCTTCAATACTCTTCGGCCATTTTTTAAAAACATAGATATATCTGTTAAAGCCACATCTATGAGGGTCACTAGAGGTCACGGCGCATTTTTTCAAGTAATATATAAAGAAAGTATGTCATTAAGTTTTACCGGATTGGAATATAATTGTGTGCTATTTGGCAGGTTTGTTTTGTGGTGGTTGCTATGGTTACGGGTTTGCGGAAACTGACCATTGTTTGTTGCGTATGGCAAGTATGGCGTTACCTATAAGTGTCATTCATTATCAACGCACAGACGAATATCAACCCTAAGCTGTTACGTTAAGATTCAAAACTGTTTTTATTTTTTATTTTTTTTTTTTTGTCTGAAAATAGAATAAGATTAAGGTCCTTGACTGGTCTAGTTTTGGCTGTTGTCATTAATCATTTTCCATGTAGTTTTACTTTGGTCTACTTTTATAGCTTAACGTGTGTAGTATAGATAAAAATTATGACTATAGATGCATTTGAAAATACTTCAAAATCAAAATGGTATAAGTATTACTAAAACTATATAACTTTAGTCTGCAATAATAAAAATTATATGAGAATTTATATACCTAAATTAATTTTTTATTATTATTTTCGTTTATCTGTTAAATTTTTCGATTTCACCTTTCTTAGTGTGTATATATATAGTGACATATATATATATATATATATATATATATATATATATATATATATATATATATATATATATATATATATGAAAGGGATGACCTATTCTATGCCGGGATCATATGGTGCTACGGAAGAGGTAAAATGTATACGGGCAATAAAATCTCTTTCATTTAATCTATATTCTAGCGAAACAATTTAATTTTATTTAAAAAAGAACACCAGAGGGCGCCACCTTTAAGACTATTTAAACTACATTCTTATACTTGGGAATACAAAAAGACCTAATCATAACATAGAATTATGTAACAAGAGAATCTGTTTAAGAAAGTTCTAGAATGATCTCCATGGTCTCTCATCATACACCTCTAAAAGATTACCTAATTATTAGATCACAATTATGCACATTGCATTGTCAGTTATATTTTTTTATACAACTTAGAATGGCAAACAAGCTGACGGCCCACCTGATGGAAAGTGTTAACTATCGCCTATAGACATGCGCAGTACCATGGACCCCACATACATTGCCATTCTTGAGAACTCATATTTTATTCCTCTGTACCTTGTAAATTGAATGCCATATCCCACCCTTCAAACCGAAACACAGCCATGCAAACACAACTGCTTCACATATAATATAGATAGAAAGACGACTGGGACAGAGGTACCCAAGCAAATGATTAAAGTACGAAGTCTCCCTCTGGCTCTCGTTGAATTTTTGTTATTCCTGCGTACAATCGAGCGGTAATTAACGCCATATGGTGTAAGGTCCGCCATTTACACTGTCTTGGTGTATTAAAGTTCAATAAATAAATAATGATACGTAAATAAATTTATTTGTATGTCAGACGTTAACTGCCTCACCATCAGTGTTTTACGAGTCACATCCTTATAGGTACCTAAAATGTATGCGCTTCTTCATGAACAAGTCTCTAATAAATCTCGCATAATCGACTCCAATTTGAGTCCACGCACGTCGAAAGAGTCCTTGAAGTGGTTTCGGAATGGTTTGACTTAATATTTATTTAATTAAACTTTATTGATTAATAAAATGTGGTACAAAATGGCGATCTTAATGCTGTGGGCATTCTCTTCTATCAATTATTCTCTTTGATCCTTTGGTCACTGAGTAAAGAGTACAAGTTGAAGTTAATATTAATGTGTAAAAATTTATTTCCACCGGCGATAGTCACTTACCATCAGGTGAGCCGCAGCTAAAATATATGAAAATCGGTTTGATAGTTTAGTATTTAAATTAACTTGTTTTGTCATGACTGAAGTCGATGTTTTTTTTAAAAAAACTAAACAAGTAAGGAGGTTATTGCCAACAATTGCCACGCTTGGTAGACAGATAGGCTACCGCCGTTAGGTTTTGGTGATATTTTAAGAGAGACACTGCTTCCCATCCCTCCATCATTGAATTCCCTTAGTCACTTCTTACGATACCCACGGAACAGAAAGGAGTGGTCCATTCTATGACAGGACCACACGAGAACTGTTGTGTAATATTAAATTTTAATTTTTTACTATAAATTCCGATTAAAATAAATAAACTCGGTACAATTTACTCCTTTATTAATGCTATACAATTTTTGATTAAGTAAACAAGACTCCAATACTGACAGTATTTTTATAGGACTAGCAGAATAAGTAATACCTATCAATTAAAAAATAATCATTAAAATCTACTTCAAACAAATGAAGACATCACATCACGTAACGTACTCAAAAATAAAGCCCAGTTTAATTGAAAACTTCCCTTATTTGAAATCGATTGAAAATGGCTCAACGATTTCCTGACAACTTAAGTTTACTATAAAAACAAATTCAGCCTTCAATATTTCCCTTGAAAACACCCTGCACCTGCAAAGGTAAACGAACTCAATGTTTATCCATTGACGAAATGGGGGTAAACTTGACAGGCCGAACGAATGTGTGTCAGAGGTGAATGACTAGACAATACACATATGTGCGGGGTCACTGACCCAGTCATTCATTTCCAATGCAATCGATGTACACTTGTCAATAATTAATGGAATAAGTCTTAAATTACCCAATCGTTTAATATGGTAATATTGATTGTTCCAATTAGATTTTACATGACGTATTATAATATCTGTCTATCATCACGCCAAACTCTTTGCAGAGTAAGCAGAGAGATCCGGTTACTTTGAAAAATAATAATAACACAAACTTTTTGCCTGCTATTTTATTCAGATGTAGGAAAACCAATGAATAATAAACTAGATAGCTTATATAGATAAAACATATACTAGATTTTAAATTAAACCTTCAGACACACATCTGTGATGGCATACAATTTAGTGTAGTTGTTTTTGCGTAATTCCGAAACAAACACACATACAGTCAGACAGACAATTCCTAAAAAAATATTGTTTAGACTTCTATTGATCTTATTAAGACCCCTTATATTAATATTACTTAAATATCTCTTTACAGACTTTCTTTGTAGTATAGTATATGCTGATAGACAGTGTGTTTGTCCATTTTTCCATATTGTCATCTGTCCAAGTAACCTTAGGTGATTTACTAAAGACAATATATGTTTACATCAAATGATCTTTCCAAAATTTATATATAACTATATGCAATTATATATTTACTTCCTCAATAGATGACAAGCTCCAGTGTCTAAACTACATTACAATAAAACCTTTTTTGTTAACATGGACAACACTTCCATAGATTAAGGATACTTCTTACCTGCTCTAGTCCATTGAAATTGGGGGGAAAAGGATTGTTAGTAATAGGGTCTAATGAACCCATTGCTAGCAATACACCCTATCAGGTCGACCTCCACGCGGTTCCCCCTGGAAACCATCGTGGTTAATTCTAATGGAATTCGTCACGATGTGCTAACTGACCTGCTTTCACCGTCACCTATCAACTCTCACTGGTGCCCCGCCAGCGTATACCGATAGCGCAGGCGGGGTTACCATACCCCTATCACCCATTAAAAAGTCCATTGGAATTGCAGCACATTAGGGATTCCATGTGTTGTGAAACCTCTTTATATTTGTTATTTTATTTTTCTGTCAATGACATTATTTGAATATTTTTATTGATGTTCTTTCTTAAACAATCGAATTGACTTCTTATAAATTTTCTGAACTCATCATCTACTACATTTTTCTTCACCTGCTTCCATCGATACCTAATTTTATTTTATTTTATTTATATTATTCGGATTACTCACACCATGATTATTTTGTGCTCTACGTTTATAGTGCTAAACATACATCTGTGGCGTACTACTTGCCATCATAATACACCTATTATTCTGCTGATTTTCTAACTTCTTTTGTTTTACAATTCTATCATGATCTTTATGTTTTCCTACCGATGTATACAAGATTTTTTTATACAACTTAGAATGATAAACAAGCTGACAGCCCACCTGAAATAAAGTGGTAACCGTTGCCTATAGACATGAGCAATACCATGGACATAACAGAGTATACTGTTTCGCCCATGATACCCCTCATGCGTTGCCATTCCTGAGGACTCAGGTGTTATTCCTCTGTACCCAGTAAATTCACGCCATATCCCACCATTCAAACCGAAACACAGCCATGCAAACACAACTGCTTCACGGTTGAAACACGAATGGGACAGAGGTACCCAAGCAATCAACTTTTGTACAAAGTCTCCCAAATAGAGATAGAAGAAAACTACAATATCAAGCATTTTAATTGTTTACCCGTTTCTCTTAATATCTTAGACGATAATTTTACTTTCCATATGGAAGGTATCA